GAGCAGCAATTCTCAACCCTTTTCATCTCATGGCACACATAAACCAATTACTAAAATTCTTTGGCACACCAAAAAGTATATTTTTTGCTGATCTCATAAAAAATAGGTATAATTTTTATTCACTTACACTGGACAGCTGTTGTTGTGTTGGCTGTTGTCATTTTTCTATTTGACAATGTAAGAGGAAAGGTCAGTGACCCTGGCCAAATAGTCAGGTATTGAATGTTTTAAAAATTCTTGTGGCACACTGGGTGAAAATCACTGCTCTAGAGTGTGAAGGTGAATGGCCTTTTCAAAGCGGCGCAGGATAGCTAGGGACATGGAGCCTGAACCAAATGTTTTAATAAGAACGATGGAATAATTAGCTGTCTTTTAAGGTACCCAATCCTTTTAATTTCATGTCAAATCACAGGAAAAAGCAGGATAGCTGGCCTAATTTACATGCACATAATGTGGGTGGATCCTTAAGGAAATTTCAGATGCTATCTGGTGTGCATAAATCATTTGAGTGTAAATCATATGTTTTTAAAGGGATATAAACAGTATTGTGCATTAATACAAATAATAGCACCCAGGGATTAGGTTATAACTACCAAGCAAGAAATGCTATATCCTGAAGGAGAAACATTACAAGAGAAATCTGTGTTTGGTTACAACACTGAACACAATGTCGGCACCGAAGCTTCCAGGTGCCCTTCAGGTAAGGATGGCTCTGATTAAGAGGGTTCTGATAAGGCAAGACTGGTTTTCTCTTCTCATGCTTTTCCTTTCCATTCACTCTTTCATAGTGTTGAGGCAAATAAAAATACTGAAGGGAGGGCAATGGGCTGTATCCTTTTAGGTCTGGAAGAGCATGCAAAATAAAAAATAAAAATCTCCAGCAGGAAAAAATACCCTATAATTACAAGTTAATGGTTCAGAACTTTTTAGATATGTTGCCATAAAATTTAAATTTAACTCCTGTGAGGGTTTATGGTAGAATATTTGATGAAACAGTGAAATTTGGAGAAATAACTATGGCTACTCTGGACAAACCTGTGCAACTCCTTGTAACTCAGAATAAGTCACTGATGGTCAGAGCTGGAAAGGTCTTAGAAATGATATAATGATCCATTTTACGGATGAGAAAACTGAGGCCCCAAAGATCAATTCAAGGTCAATGATGAATGAGAGGCAGGCATAGAATCCAGATGTCTATTTCTCTCTAATTAATTCACCCCATTTGGTTCTACAACAAGTGAAGGAACTAACTTAAAGTACTAGAACAGCTGTAGGTGGGCTACTATTTCTGGGGACCCATGAGGTCCAACTATTTTCCTATTATTAAGGTGTTATTTGCCTTTTCATTCTCACTCGCTGTCACAGGTGTACATGTGAAGTACAAAGACATGCTGTTCTGCAACAGGCTAATGTGGAAACAGGAGAATCCAGTTNTGCAACAGACTAATGTGGAAACAGGAGAATCCAGTTTCTGTCAAGATAGACATTAGGGATTGCAAAAATGTAAAATAATGCCACTCTCCTCACTGTTTACTTTTGTTCTAGACAATATAGTTATTTTCACAAACATTTAACATTTAATAGAGTTATTATTTTGAATGAATGACAAATATTTAAAAATGTCTCATTTTAATTTTTTAATTATGAACTCACATACAGAAAAGCTCTTGGGATCCTGAATAATTTTTAAGAGTATAAAGGGGTCCTGAGATCAAAAGGTTTAAAAATGGCTGTACTAGAACCACAAAAAAGTAGAAAGGAAACAATGATGAAAGTGGAATTTTACAAAAACTATTCTTAACATAAGACCCCCAGTCCTTCCTTTTTGGCTCCATCTCTCACTTTCAAAAGCATGATTGAACGTGATGGATGTGAGACTTGTGTCAGTCATCAGTAACACGTGCAGTGATCGGGTGCTGCATGGTTTCACGTGCAGGTAGGAGCGGGACTGGACTTCTGGCTCTGCATTTACCAGCTCTGAGAACTGATCAGGGAAGCCTGTCTCCTTACCTGAACCAGTGGAGACAAATGTGAAAGAGCTAGTATAAGAGGAGCCCCGGGACAGCGCCTGGCGCATGGTCATGGGCTTAGTTTGGCTATTATTCTTCAAAATCCTGTGCTCTTCCAGCAATGCCAGACTGCTTCCCTTACAGCATTCTTCCTGAGCCTTCACATTCTGTGTTAAAATTTAAAAAGAACTGCTGTTTATTAACCCAAGTTTGTATTCTTTCTCCTCTATATTTTCCGTGCCATTACCTTGTCTGACTTTATTTTTTTATGAGTCTTTTAACTTCTCCAGGTCTAATTTGCATGTTGCAAAGGAAGCATAATTCCTAATCCAGGCAGCAATTAAAAGTGTGGCTCGGGGCCAGTGTCCACTGGTTTCAGTGCCAGTCTCATTGCTCACTGGCTTCATAACTGGGGCAAACTGCGTAATTTCCATGTGCCTTGATTTCCTTATCTGTAAAAACGAAGCTAGTAACCACATCTGCCTCATAGGGTTGTTGTGAGGATTAAAGGAGTTAATATATAAAGTGCCAGGCATGTAGGAAATGCTCAAAAATGTTTCACAGCTTATTGTTATTAACAAAATAAGATGAGGCTAGATCAGATTTTCTCCAAGCTGGGTGAGAAGAATTTCCACTGTCTTGTTACTCCCTCCATGGCCCGACTCCCCTCTCCCTTCCCTGTCCTGTGCTCCAGAGCTTCTGAACCACAACAAAAGCCATGCCGGGAAGACAGGCGGGCGGACCACGCCAGCCAGCCCACCACCGCCACCGTCTCTTTCAGTGCCCACCTCCCATGACTCCTTCTTTTCAATTGGTCCTCACGCGCTCTCAATCCAACCAGCGAGGAAGGCTGCGGCTTCCCCTGCGGCTTCTGAGGCAGGTGCCATCCTTTTCTGAAATGCTCTGCTTTCAGCATCAAAGACATAAAACAAGAAAACTAGACACTAATAAAACCAAATGAACAGCAGTGTTCTCATAAATGAAACTGACAGTACCAAGGATAGATAAAACAACTTTTCTCCCAAAGGAATAAGGGGTAACAGAGAAGGAGCTGGTGCCAGCAATGCTGTCTAACCACCTTGTGATCTTACATCGCACTCCGGAGTCTCACATGCCCGGTTGGTGCAAATCTGGTTTTTGTAAAGATACACACAATTGGCACGGGCCCTCAGCTCATGAAAATGAGGTATCACATGGTCTTTCATTTCAGCTTTCTTTTTTTAAAAAAGATATCTTTATTGATTTCAGAGAGAGAGGAAGAGCGAGGGAGAAACAGAAACATCAATGATGAGAGAGTCACTGATCGGCTGCCTCCTGGACGCCCCCGACTGGGGATCAAGCCCTCAACCCAGGCATGTGCCCTGACCGGGAATCGCACCGCGATCTCCTGGATTCTAGGTCGATGCTCAACTGCTGAGCCACGCCCGACCGGGCTCATTTCAGCTTCCTTGATTTCTACTTTTGGATGAAACCAAACTTACCATGAGTTAAACACACAACAAAAACAAACCAACCAAACAAAAAACTCTATATTTTTCCTATTTAATTCCTTATCTTCTTGGTTATAGAGAGGAATCAACTCTAAAGATTTTGCAATATACTCTGCTTTTTTAAAAGAGTGGAGGCACTGTGGAGAGGAGCATTGGTTAGTGGGAAAAAGTTCTGTTTGCCACAACCAGATTATTCAAGGGTTGTAAAAAAATCCTTCCATGGTTTTTTTTGGGGGGGCCTTCTATTTTATATAGTAGGTCAAGGAAAACTGAGATGTTTGGGCTGAGACCCGAAGGAAGTTAGGGAACAAGCATGGGACAGCTGAGACACTGTCCATACAGAAATAGTAAGTGCAAAGGTCCTGAGGTAGAAACATGCTTGGTCTGTGGGAGGACCATCAAGGCCAATGTGGCTGGAACAGCATTGGCAAGGAGGAGAGAGATGGGAGGAGGGCAGAGAGGTGGGGGAGACCAGACTGGGTAGGGCCTTGAGGACTCTGGATTTTACTCCAGGAGAGAGAGACCCAGAGGGCTTTGGACTGAGGAATAACATTGGGTGACTGATGTTCTGTAGAGTATACCTGGGAAATACAGTGCTGTGTTGGGGGATATGAAGAAAAAGAAGGGTATGGAGAGGTGCTACTATGAGACAGTGGCGTTGATTCCCGACTTCGAGCTTGCACACTGAGTGATGCGGTGTACAGGCTCAATCTTGGCAAAACTTTAAAAGGCAAAAAATTCCAAATCAACATTTCCATGTTCCGTGAGATTTGGTGCAGGTGTACAAAGACATGGAGAATGAGCATGAGATGTACTTTTCAGGGAAAATACTTGGTTCTCCTCTTTTACAGTCGAGCCACTAGAGTATCTTCCTAGGCCCCATCTCACAATTCAGTTAAGCCTCTAGGGACAACTTGATGGACACTAACGGGTGTCCACACACAGGGTCGCTCAGGATTCTCCAAGCAGCCTTGCGAGGAGGGCAGGGCAGGCATTACTTCCTCCTTTGGCAAATAGGGACACACAGCCGGAGAGGTTCCTGCCCAGATCACACAGCTGGTTTCTGACAACTGAGGGCGGGAGCCAAGATCCTTGGTGCTGAATTCAAGATTCTTCCCACAATCTGTGCCTCTCAGGCTACCAGTTCTCAAGGCAGTTTTCCCCAAATGAAGATTCACACACAAGGGGATACAGTTGAGTCAGAGAAGGTGGTACTTGAGGAATAACACAGAAGAGCCCCACTTTGCTTGGCATTAAGGGATCTGTCTTTTTATTACAAGGTGATTTAGTATTTTACCCTAGATATTCTTTTGTGTAATGTTCTATGTGAACGGTGGGAAAATATGGCTTGTGAAAAGATGCACTGTTTGTAGATGTGACAGGTGCTGCTGTCTGTTAACACCCAAGCACGCCTGGCCTTACGGAACTTGTTCCGTGTCAGCCATGACCTGGGTCCATTTGTAAACCAGAAGGGAAGGGGAAGAAACTAGAAATTACTTACTAAATAAACATCGAGCACGGAGGCATTATCATCTTGCATTTCCAGAGCATTTGGCTCAGAAGTCAAGTAGATGGTCCCTTCTTCTGAGGTAAATGTTGAACTGGAAGGTAACCCTTTACTGGAAAAATAAAGAAGAGTAATGATGAGTGTGTGACCTCCAGGACAAAACCCAAGGACACCTCCAAAACTGTTGCTGAACAGGCTGGGAAAGCTTTTGGGGATAAAAACTTTTTTTTGAGAGTTTGAAGGAAATATGGTTACACCTGGAGATGTGCTCACTTGAGTTTAAATAAGTTGGTTTTACTGGTAGTGAATTTTCTGTCTCCTTTGGTGGATGAAACATTTCCTTGCATTTCTGAGAGGTGATTTGTGGGCCCCATGCCTTGTGAGGGAGAATTGTTGGGACTCTCAAGGTCTGCTGGTCATCTGTGACTGAATGGTTCGTCCTTGATGCTTAAGTTCCCCTCTCACAGTATTCATGCTTTGCTAGTTTATAGAAGATAACCTTGTGCATTGTTACAGTGATAATCTCTTTCTATTGTTTTTGTGTTTTCTTTTTCTTTTCGGCAAAAAAAGTTTAATTACAGCCATGGTTCGCAAACTTCAGTGTGCATCAGAATCCCCTGGAGGGCTAGTTAAAACCCGCTTTCCTGGGCCCCACCATCCAGAGTTTCTGATTGAGTGGGAGCCCATTGGTTTGTTTCTAACAAGCTCCCAGGTGGTGCTCATGTTGCTAAATCTAAGGCCTACACTGTGAGTAGCGATGAATTACATAAACACATAAATGGGTTACATAAATACAGAGCATGTGCTTTGTGAGGACAGCCTAAATGTATCCTTAGCAACAACAAAAGCCAAAGGAATGCAGGTAGACAGTCCTATTGAGTCATTTATGAAGGGAAACCACCTTGTTTTGTCATACCAGTGGTTCACTGTTTAAGTAATCAGTCCATTTTCATAGTTTTTAAATTGGGAATTAATTTAAGGGCTCAGAAATGCACAGTCTTTCCCCTAGTGAAATAGAAGTTAGTTATGTTTTTAACCTGTGGAAACTTGCCATGTGGTGGTTTTTCAGGAACAAGATATCTGCAAACGGTGGGAGGAGAGTGTGATATTGGTGTTAGATGAGCTCTAGAAGGGGAACAAACTTGCAGTGGGCTGCGGCTCTCCCTGGGCAGTAAGTAGGGCTGAAAGCGGGAGTGCACTAGGGTAGCTTCCTTTCTCACCTTCCCGGTTACCAGGGCCTGTCCCCTTCTGGGCTTGGCTCAGAGCTCACCCCTTCTGAAAACCCCCATCTAAAGCCATCCCCATCCTCTGCGTTTCTTGTCTGAACCTCGCAGTTGGATGGGAGATTATTGAGAACATTGTATCCCCCTGTCCTTTCCTAGTCTGGGAACCAAACATAATTCTATTTCTGTACATATTTACCTAGTAACTGAAGATATGTGAAATAGTTAGAAATCCTGACCTTTACAATATCAAAAATAACATTTGTGAAAAAAATTGTGATCTTAATAAATCAGGTTCATTTGAATTTTTTTCCTGATCATAAATGACATGAGAAAAATTTAAGAATACAGACCAGTGTTAGGAGGAAGTGGAGGGGGGTCTGGGACTCATAAGTCTTCTATTTGATGATTGAGAATGTAGGAATCAAAGAACTAAAACCACTTCACTTTTGGCTTAATGCATTTTCTCTTAGACTTTGGACACAGTAAAAGAAGTTCTCTTGTTTTTCACAAATCTAAGATAGGTTATACAATATGCGAAACAGTTTGTTCTGATTGAATTTAAAGAGCAGGGTGAATGTGGCCCTTTCTCGTCAAGCTGTTGACTTTATATTATAAACCTTCATAGATTTCTTGGGTTAAGTAAACCACAAGTTTTCAAGGGCTGCTATTTTGAGAGGCACTATGTAGCAGTAAACATTGCTCAGGTTATTTTTTGGATCAAAACAATGATGCAGTTAATGGGCTTTGTTGGACTTTTGCTTTTCAACTGTTAAGATGCTGTTCACTACTCCTGTAAGCAGAAAATGATCCTGCTGATTAAGCCTTATGAGGAAGATAAACCTCCAAAGGCCTCTTACTTTGTAAACATATAATTTATTTGAGATTCAAAACTAAGTTTTCTCCTTCTTATATAAGTTTTTAGTTAAAATTTTAATTGATTTCCCTCCTAAGATTAAGGGTATTACTGAGAAGATTCTAGAAGTGCTTTTCTTTTAAAAATTTTTAAATGGCACTACTTGTAAAATATAGCCAAAAGTAATCATCTTCTTTCTACTGTGTTCTTGTGACCCAGAGATTCACCTCTCCAGAAGTAAACCCAGTTTGCAAATATTTTTCAATCTAATATTTGTCTTTTATTTTTGGGAACTATGAGTAAGTTACTAGCATGCTTAAGGCAAAATTAAAATAAAAAAGAAACCTAGTGTATTCTTTGAGATTTAATAGGTACATTTATAAATTATTTTAGTTAAAATTCAATATGGTTACAGAAAAAAAATTACCAATTTCCTCAGTATCATATGGTCAAAATTTGATAAAATCTAATAGGCATATATATTTTAAAAACATTGCTATTTACACTGTTTTCCAGTAAGAGAATAGCTTCCTATCTTAGTAACTATAATATTCTGGGCATTAAGTTTGGGGGACAAAAATGAGACTCATAGGGACTTGTATCAGATTAAAGAACTCTTAATTCAACAATAAATAGGTAAATAACCCACTTTAGAAATAGGCAAAGGATCTGAGTAGACATTTCTCCAAAGAAGATATACAAATGGACAATAAGCACATGAAAAATATGTCAGTGCCACTACTTATCAGGGTAATGCAAATCAAAACCACTACGAGATAGCACTTCGTACCCACTAGGATGGCTGTAATAAAAAGACAGGTGTTGGAGAGAATGTGGAGCAATTAGAGTCCTCCTACACTGCTGATGGGAATATAAAATGGTGCAGCTACTCTGGAAAACAATTTCATGGGTCCTTAAAACAATTTGAGCCAGCAATTCTACTCCAAGGTATATATCCAAGAAAAACGAATATATATGGAGATACACACACAGGACATACATCCACGCAAAAACTTGCACATTAATTTTCACTGTAGCATTATTCATAATAGCCCAATAGTGTAAACAGCCCAAATGTCCACCAACTGATGACTGGATAAATACTTCACACAATGGAATATCTTTCGGCAATAAAAAATAATGAAGTACTGACATGTGCAACAACATGGGTGAACCTTGAAAACATGCTTAGTGAAAGAAGCTGATCATAAAGGACCACCTATTATATGATTTAATTTATGGGACATGTACAGAATAGGCAGACCTATAGAGACAAAGCAGATTAGTGGTTGCCAGGGGGAAGGAAAAAGGGGGGAATAGTGACTGATATTAGGTATAGGGTATCTTTTTGGGGGTACTGAAAATGTTCTACAATTAGATTCTGGTGATAGTTATACTACTCTGTGAATGCACTAAAAATCACAAAACTGTATACTTTAAATGAATGAATTTTACGGTATATGAAATATATCTCAATAAGGTTTAAAAAAAAGGTTTCATGAAGCACCTAAGGGTCATGATTCTAAACCTGATCTCTCAGCATATGGTATTAGAAGTAACAGAAATTTGATGGAATAGATAATTTAGGTCCTGGTTTATTTGCCATTCAAAAAATAATTTTCTTTTTCCTAATAGGGAAAAAAGTTCTAGTCCACCTGACAACATGAGAGAGCTGGGCTCTGAGATTTCAAACCTGAGGTGAAGAGACCACGTGTGCAGCCGGTGGAAGCCTGGAGAACTCTAATGTCGCAGGGCCAGTGTGGGTACAGCACAGGACACAGGTGAGGGAATGTCCATCCTGGAGGATATCCAGCCTAGAGGTTGCTGGCCCACAGACCAGTCTGGCTGGGAAAAGTGTGTTTTACCCAAAGAGATTGTTTGAGGTTGAATTATTGCTAAATTAAGAAATAGGAAATTCCCACAAAAACCCAGATTCCCTTCACTTCTTATGAGAAACCAGAAGAGCTGGGAACTCTGAGCCCATGGTTCTAAGTAGCACTGAGGTTGTGGCTGCCCCCTTTAAACTGGGCATGTCCCCTCCAGTTCTCTGGGGTCCCCACTACTCTCTTCTGCATTATACCAGGACTGTTCTACTCATTTGCATCATCTCTGGCCCCTCTGTTTACTTCTTAGCCCAACATTTTTACTTCACAGGTGAGGAAGCTGAGGTCCAGGGAGTTGCAGTGGTTACCCAAGATCACAGTGTAATTGAATAGAGTTAGGACCTGAACTTAGTTTTCCCATTAAGCACCTTTTCTGTGGTCATCTCTGCTGAAATTTGCCAAAACCAAGGTAGCTAAGGCAGTGTGCCTAGGGACCTGAAAATAATCATATAAACCAGCAAAAACAAGTGCAGTACATGATGCTTGATGTGAGCTGGTTCTCTTTGTTCTCTTGAGAAGAGTAACAAAATATGCTTTACAAAGCAATGTTTTTGTAGTTATAGTATCTTTATTATATTAAATTGTAAACTGGGTGTTTTATAAACAAATGAAATGATCACAGTTTAAAACTTAGCATATTACTTATTGTTTTGCATTTATAAGATATATATTTCAGTACAAATTTTCTTTTAAAAAATTTATTGGAATAACATTAACATGTTTCAAGTGTATGATTTTATAATATATTATTTGTATATTGCATCATATGCTCACTACCCAAAGTCTAATGTCCTTACTTTACTGTTGGTTTCCTGGACACAAGCTTATTTGGAATCAATTTCTAATTTCTCTGGCTGAGAGTTCCCCAGATTCTGATTTAGCGGTAACCTATATAATAAGGGCACCTCTCCTGGGAGGAATGCCCTCAAGACCCAGTGGTCAAGTCAGAGACCCTGCCATTTTTCAGCCTCATAGATTGGGAAGATTCATTTCTGGAAGCAGGGTTAATGACGAGACTGTGTTTAAGAGTCTGGCTGCCTGCCTGGGTTCTGCACCATCAGGTTTTTCACAATTCCCTTATTTCAGACTGAGGGCTAATTGCATCTAATGTGCAACAAGGCACTCAGGAAACAATCTACCAGTTCTGTTC